ATGTGTATGAGACTTTCTTTCCTACTGGTCCTCCCTCAACCCTACTCTAGCCACTGAAGCAGAAGATGAAGTCTATTAAATCCAGTCGGACCTCTGCCCCTTGAATTTAGAGGTGGATTGGAGTCCTAAGACACCCCCCAAACAATTTGTATGGATTTCATTTGCTCATAAAACCTCTTTGAGACAGCAGTTAACCTGGGTCACAAAGAGATCCAGACTCAGGATGATGGTCAGTCCTCCCTGAAGGATGCTCCTCATCCAGAGACCCCAAGTGCCTGGCACAAGGGAACTAAAGAGGTAACAAATGAATCTTAAAAGAACCATGAGTGTATAACTGAAAACTACCTGGTCTGAGCATGTATCTTCTTGAGCTTTGTTTCTGAATTATTGTTAAACATAAAACAACAGATTTTGGCATTAAGAAAAATAATACCACCCTCTTCTGCCAGCGTGTTCTTCAGTTATACATCAGAGTACTGATTTTTTTTGTTTTTGGGGGGTTCGGGACCGGCTTAGGTTTTTTTTGCCATTGTTCATTGCCAGTTTGCAGTCCTTTTTTCCGGGGCTTTTTTGCTTTTTTCAAGTATGAGGCCACACAGACCACAACAGAACCAGCTTATCTTCTTGGCAGGGTATCCTTGGAAACCCAGCTAAATCAGAAGTCTGGATTCCTCCAAACTTTGCACCCTTTGACCAACATGTCCCTCTGCTCTGTCCACCACCTTCTTCAGTCTTTGGTAGCCATGACCTTGCACACTACTCCAATGAGCTTGATTTTTAGTCTCCACATATAAGTGGTATCATGCAGTATTTGTGTTATTGTGGATGACTTATTTCACTTAGAATTAAAGAGTGTGGTCTATATACACCCAAAGAGACTGCTCAATCTTTACAAAGAAGCAGCTTCTGTCATTTGGGACAACATGAATCTTAACCAATTTTTTATGACTGTTAACATATCACTAAAGTGGGGACAGGAAAAGGGAGGAATGGTGGGAAAAATTTACTAAATTATGCTATTTACATATAGAAGTATAGCACAGTCGATTTCACTTTGTGTATACAGCACTAATTTTTAAAATCTATAAATAAATAGAAGACTCGTAGAGTAGAGGAAGGGGAACAGGGAGAAGGAGGAGGGGAGAGATGGAGGAAGTACTGAAAACTAACGGAGCAAATTATATTGTATGAATGTACGATTATGTCCAAATGAATTCCAATATGATATATAACTAATGAAAACATACAACATTAAAATACTGTCATTTCCCTTCTGGCGATATTATTTAGGGGAAGGTATCCTGATGAATACAACTTGTTGTAGCTTTTGAAAAATGCCATCCATCTGAAGACATCTGAGAGCTCTCAAGACAGTGAGGAATTAGAGGTCCATGAGCTGGAAAAGGAAAGCAGTCCTGAGAGGCAGCACTCAGGGTCCAGAGCCAGATTTGTTCAATTAGAAGAATCTGTAAATTGCAAAGGTATGGCTAAGACACAAGAGGCTGAGCAGTATATTCAGCAGGATCATGAGAACAAGAGGCAAACTTGGAATTTGAGGCCTGCATAGGAAGAGAAGCTGTGGTGAACACAGCAGGCTTTTGGATATTATCATAAAACTCTGCATTCTCAATCCCTAGGCCCTAAGTATCAGGTGAAACATAAATGGGGGGAAAAAGAGCAGCCCTCGTGAGTGATTGAAATCCAGATTTGAATAATTGCAGTTCCTGATCTGATTAGGATCCGGAAGCATTGCTAGTTTCCAACCCTAATTGTGAAGCAGGGCAATTGAAAGGGGAAATAAATCTTTACCACACTGATTGTGTTCAATCATCCTGATTCAGTATATAGATTTCTAAATACACAATAACCAGAGCACCTAGTCAGGAAGTAGATAAACCACTATAAAATGTGTTAGAGTCACTGAACTAGCAGAAAGTGGTAACATTCAATTAATCTTAGAATGCATTGTTTGTAATCATATGGAAGTTTATAGGAGGATCAACAAAGGAATAGTAAACAGACCATGAAGCCAACAAGTGAATAAATGATAAAAATAATATAAACAGAAATGTTTGACCCAAGGAGGGAGAAAAGGCAGGAAAAGGGATTAAACAGTTGCCGGATGGCAGATGATGGCTTTAAACCTAAGGTTAGCAAGTAAATTATATTGAAATAAGTAGCCTAAATGATTAAAAGACAGACATTGTCCAAGTGAATAAAAAAAACAACATATGTATACATATTTCTTTTTCAAAAGAGAGAAATAGCAGGGTGTAACTAATGGTTTCAAAATTTAAGAGAGTTGAGGGGAGAATATACCATGACTTCATGAACCCCAAAGGAACTGATACAGCCACATTGACTTCTTACCATCATCTTATGGATAAGGAATCATTATTCAGCTAAATGCAGAAACACAAAACAAGAAACAATAGAAAAATGTACATTCTCTTCAGGTAAACATGGAACATTTATACCGAGAATGAAATTTGTCCATAAAACAACATGAACAACTTTCAAAAAGCCAAAAATATGCAAAATATTTTTCTGACACAGTGGAATTAAGCTGGATTCGTGATTAAAATTATAAAAAGAGAATGTTCCCTTGTCTGAAAATTCAGAAACACATACACTAAATAACAAATATAATACAACATGCTGGGTATAGTGGCGCATGCCTATAATCTCAATGGCTCAGGAGGCTGAGACAGGCAGATCTCAAGTTCAAAATCAGCCTCAGCAACTTAATGAGGCCTTAAGCAACTTAGGGAGACCCTGTCTCAAAATCTAAAAAGAGGGGTGGGGCTATGGAGGTTGCCCAGTGGTAAAACATTGTTGGGTTCAATTCCCAGTACTAAACCAAAAACCAAAAACAAACACAAAGAAATGGAGAATTAGAAAATAAATTAAAACAGTAAAGTCTGTGAGCACATCAAACATTCTGAGGTAGACTAAAGCCCTGGTTCAAGGAAATATTTAGCTCTTAAAGTAAATATGAGAAAAGAATTGTGAAAATAAGTTATGTGTGAATCTACATCAGGAAATTAGAAATAGGAAAGTCCATGAAACCCAAAGGAAACAGAAACAAGAAAATAACAAAGAAAATGATATGATCCTAGAAAGAATGACCAAAGTTACAAGTTAGACCTTTGAAACCCTACACAAATTGATAAACCTTTGTCGACATGAGAGAATAAATGTTCATTATCAGATAAAAGTTACATAACCACAAACACTATAGATTTTAAAATAATAAAAGGGAGATATGAGCCAGATGTTATAATGAATTAGGCAATTTTTATGACTTACCAAAATCTCTGAAGCTTACCAAATACACAAATCTGAATACATATTCTGAATAGACTTAGGTTTATTTTAAAATATGGACATAAAATTTAAAACTTTCCTATCAAAAAATGTTTCTGAAATTTCACTGGTAAATTATAGCAAATCTGTATAAAAAATAAAAATGAAAAATGAGCACATACAAACCATCCCATACTCTGGAGAATAAAAACAAAGAAACATTTTATAGCTTCCTTCATATAGTCAAAAAAAACCCTAACACCAATGTTTGAAAACAGAATTGTAAGAATTAAATGAACAAAGATGTAAGACACTAAATAAAATATTTTTACAGAATATATTCAATACATTTTCAGAGATTTCACAAAAAAAGGTAAGTTACAGAAACAAAATTTTTGTTTCATCATTTGAAAATCACTACATGTAAGTCACAAAATTAACTTGACAAAACTGTCAATTCAACAAGGCAGAATATGTACCTAATAAATGATGAAATATGGATATTTTTATTTCTGATACAATGTCAAAGTAAATTTACAGTTCTTATTATTTTTCAGATGATATCGAAATAGTGATATTTTCTTGCAAACTGTTAGAACTCAGATGTGATGAAAACAATGATCATCTCATGAAATATAACGAGATTGAGGTGGGGCTGACATCTGAAGTTTCTGGGCTTTATGTATTTATCACAGATGGGAGATGACATCATAAGCCTTCCCTAGATGTCCTGATATGACCTGTCAAGAAAACAAGCAAAAAAGAGCTTAATATAAGAGATGTGTGTACATCCATATTCATAGTGACATAATTCACAATAGTCGATGGTAGAGGAACTCAGGAGTCTAGTAGTAGATACATGGGGAAAGACATGTTGTGTGCATACTGTGGAATATTACTCAACCTTGAGATGAAAGGAAATTCTGATGTATTCCAAACATAGATAAACCATGTGGTCAAACTGCTAAATACAATAAACGTGTCACAAAGTGACAAATACTGCATGATTCCAATTATAAGACTTGAAGAGGGTAGCCAAATTGAGAGATATGGAAAGTGGAAGGGCCACCAACCAGTAGGGAGGAAGGGAACAGAGAAGAGTTTTTAGGTGGAAAATGAGCTTCCATTTTGCAAGATGAAAAAGATTGGAGATGTGGATGATGGTGAGGGATGCACAGAATGTGAATGCATTTAACACATTTAAAATGGTACAGATAGAAAATCATAGTATGTGTCATTTACCACATTTTTATATTAGCTCCATGCAGGAGATAGCAGTTAAGAAGAAAGGTCTAGTGGAAAATGGAGGTTGATTGTCATGACCCCCCTTGCCCGCAAGGAAGACGCGACTCAGGAATCTTTTTTCAGCAGTTTATTTAGGCCCTTGATATTCTTCTAATAATTCTTCTACTACTACCTCGGATGCCCCTCCCAGCCTTAATAAAGCACCGCGAACCCCAATGCAAAACTGCCACGTGTACCCTTCTCACAGGGTGCTAGAAAATGACACGCCAACTTTCTCTGATAAGGAGCTGGGAACACGCCAACTCTCTTTGATATGGAGTTGTCCTTCACAGACCACAACGGAGCCAGCGCCATCATGTAATGGCGACCACAGTCCGCAGGAACGGCTCACCACAGTTGATATAATGTATATAGACACAGGGTAGGAAGAGTGGGAGAGTGGACAGAAGAGGAAGAGTAAGGAAATAGAATCTCACCTGCGTCTCCAGAACCATAAAGCAAGGCCCAGCAGGAAGATCAGAGCGGGCACTATAACTGCCAGAATGACCAGGCCAATGGGGTTGGAGCGTCCTGCCGTGGGGAGGGAGGACACAGACCATCATTCTGAATCTCACGCATTCATTCCCTGGCCTCCCTTTGTCCAGCTCTGCAGCCTTCATTTCCTAGAGGTCGGTTCTCCTCACCTCCCTCCCCTCTCTGACCACCACCCCTCCCCCTGCCTTCCTCCTCCTCTTCCCCATCCTTCCCAGGCCCATCCTCTGTGTGGGGCACCCCCTCCCTCCACCTCCAGCTGGGCCCCAGCCCTTTCTCACCCCAGTAGAGGACGAGGTCCTGCCCTCCTAGGCTGCTGTGCTTCACCCTGCAGGCCAGGCCAGCCGCCTCCCCAGCTGCCACATCCAGGGTTGTTCGGAGGTTCCAGGTCCCATCCGCGTTGGGCAGGAAGTCACCTCGCTGAGTGCCCTGCTGCTCCTGCTCACCTCGCATCCACATCACCCACACGTGTTTGGGGTAGAAGCCAGACACGTGGCACACCAGCAGCATGTGGCCAGGTTCAGGACTGGGACCACTGGACAGCCAGGCCTTGGGCTTCACTAGGGCAACAGGGGCAGGGAGAGTGTCACCTGCTGGTGCTGACCCAGAGCACATGGATGCAGACTGATGTGCACCTTAAGCCCTTGTGTTCCTTTGGGAATGGAATAGATCCTTGATGAAGCGCTCCTCCTCCCTGGGTGCTTTCCTACTCTTGGATTTAAGGAGAGCTGAAAGGGAAACGGCAGGACTCACCTTGTCTCTGGAGGTACACCTTCCCTGCCTCCAGGACGCTCAAGAGAAACCGGGGACAGGTTTTATAGAGCAGGTGCTCCACTGTGTCAAAGATGCCTTTGTACTTTGCAAAGATTTCACAGACCTTCTGTGCCCTGCTGCTGCTGGGTCCTGGGGCAGGCCAACAGGTAGTATTGATGCTCAGGAAATCCAGGCCTCCTACAGCCCCCTTCCAGGAACTTACGATGGCTCCCCCAGACTGTAGCTCACAGCCTCCTATGCTCTGGATCTCTAAGGGGTCTGTGCAGAAGGAAAACAGATATAAAAGTTACTAATCATCAAACAAGAAGAAAGGGATGTGGGGAGGACCCAGGATACAGATTCTGGGTAAGGAAAAATTCTGGAACGTGAAACTATAAGTTAATACAGCATTTGGAGGTAGAGTGTTGGGGAGACTTGTGCCTCTCATGAAGGGGACAGTGCTGTGGTAAAGGGGATGGTGGTTACAGGGCAGAGGAGAGGGAGAGGGAGAAGGCCAGGGACATGCTGTCACCAGCACGGATATCCCAAAGGAAGCAGAAGTCCCCAGGGAAGGAAGAACTCATGGCCATGTTTGTAGGGGTGGATAAGATGATGGGCCACACTATACAGAACTCAGGCACAAGTAGGAAATTAAGAAGAGAGTTTCACAGGAGACACACCAGGGGCTAGTCATACAGCAGACACCTTTATCTGTCAGAGAGGAGTGAGGAGCCACCCAGGTCACAGATTGTGGAGGAGAGGAGTCGGAGAGGGAGCTTGCTCTAAAGAAGTGTGTGCATGCATCTGGGTAAAGAAAAGAGGAGAGGGAAGGACCACAGGGAGTGAGAACCAAGGGTCACAGAAAGAACCCAGTTCTGGGGACAGAACTCACATTTGAACTGAAGGTCAAGTAGGTGTTCCTGCACTTCCCTGGTAAATCCAACGTAGTAGAATCGAAAGATATTGTCCATCTCCGTGACTTCCACATCACTGAGGTTGCCCTTAGACCAGGGCTTCAGGAATATCGCAGTGCCTGTGTCACTATCCCAGCCATGAATCTGCAGATCACCCAACCAGCCTGAGCCACAATGTTTTGTCCAGGTGCTGTTGGCAAAGGTTGAAATTTGGATGATATGGAATGAGGTCGGCCCTGGGGAGGCTGTGAAGAAAACCAGAAAAGACTTAAGTGAAGGGGAGAAGCTAGAGAGAAAGAAAAACCATCGACACGGGAAAGATACCAAGATCCCAGGGACTGCAGAAATACAACACCTGACACATTTGAGAGCCCCAGGGCTTCAGGTGGCCCCCTCCAACATGGTGGAAGAGGGCTGAAAGTCCAGGTGCACCTGGGCAAACGCAACCTACTTTCCACCAGACCCTCTGCACCAGTTCATGAGCTGCCAGAGCTACGCTTACCTTCTTGATTGTCACCACCTGGGAGGAGAACTGCTAGCAACACAAGTAGCAGGAGCAGCATTTCGCTGACAGAGGACCTCTGACTCTCAGCTGGTGTTTGATCTCTCATGTCAGCAAACTCTGTTTCTCTGCACTCTGTAGTGTCTTCCTTCTTTAAACTGGCAAATGGCTTTCTCATACAACATGCTTCCCAGAATGCTGGAACTCCCACTCCACCTCTCATTTCCCCTGCAGCCCTGAGCTCTCAGACTTAGTCTCACTTCCAAAGTTTCCAGCCTCTCTCCGGGTCCTCAGCCTTCTTCAGATGAGCTCACAAAAGTCCCTATATGATTTTGAAATATCAATTCATGTCCTTAACCCATTATTTACATCTCTGTCAATTATTGGGGAAATACTGAACAATTGATCCAATCTTCTTTAATCTGGAATGGTTCTTTTGGTTTATCTGCCCAATGCAGCCTCCCTCTCTCCCACTGCTTTCTCTGCATTGTCATTAGCCCTTGCCAAGGTCCTCGGTGTCTCTTCTCTGTATCACGCACCTTCTCTGGCCTCCCTAATTCTCTTTCTTATTGGTTTTCCAACCATGTTTCTGCTTTCCATAAGTCCTTTTCTGTTGCTTGGAGTGCTAGATGTCCAGGTATCAAATCTACCTCTGACCCAGTCCTGGGGACACTACTTGTGGAGGTAATATTTAGCCTCATTGCTTGAACCAGACTTTGTAGACTTGATTATTTAGCTCAAGATAGGTGGTCACATTCTGCAGAAACTGGACGTGTTACTTAGTGTTGTTCATCATAATACAAGTATCAGCTGTGCCTGGTGCCTCAAGAGGATATTTCAAGTCCCATGCATCCCCTTAAATGGAAGTCTTGACCCTTTATATCACACTCGTTAAACAGGACAAAGAAAAGGACATAATGAAGTTTGCCTGATATAAGTTTACCAGAGAGGAAAAGTTATAATTTTGCATATTAAATGAATAATGTTTTCCTAGCTCTTCATAAGTCCTCACATATGAATCTCTTTTGTGCTCTCTGCAGTGAGTCCAGATTCCTGGCTGTCCTTTCACCCAGTCCTCAGGTGACTGACTGACTATTGCTCATTTGCAATGTCTCTGGTTTCTATCCAAAGCTTGTTTAGATGATGTGCATGTGGGGTGACAGCAGCAATGGGGCATTAATTAATTAATGGGGCATTTTTTATCTTCTTCCTAATGCTGATGTGACATGGTTTCTGTTACGGACAAGCAATGATGCTGAATCTCCTCTCTTCACGTAGGAATAGGCTATAGTAAAATGACTGGATCACGAGAACTGTAACCTAATGGATCCATGTTGGTTTGAATGCATGGGACTGGGTGGTAACTGCAGGCAGGTGGGGCAGGGCTGGAGGAGGTGGGTTTGGGGGCATGTCCTGGAAGGGTGCATTTCCCTGTGCCCTGTTTCCCTTCCCTGTCTTTGCTTTCTGACTCCAGCACAAGCTGAGTGTCTTTCATCCACTGTGCCCTTCTGTCATGATGTGCTGCTGCCTCACCTTGACCAAGAACAGTGGACTCAGTCAAGCATGGACTAAACCTCTGGAATTGTGAGCCCCAAATAAACTTTCCCTGCTCTAAGTTTTCTTCTCTGGTCTCTTGGTCATGGGAAAGCAAAGCTGACTAAAACTGTCTTTGGCCGTCCTGGGTGTGTTAGTTGATGGGGCAGCTGGCCTGTCTAGTGGAGTGAAGCTAGCAGCCCAGCAGGCCAGGACATGACCCTCTGCTGGGGTCAGGGAAATGGGAGTTGGAAATGTGAGCAGGTGGTCTTGGTCCTAAGAGGAAAGTTTGGTGATGCCTGATGCAGAAAGAATTGTGAGAAAAGAATCAACATGGGTGATTTGAGGTACAGAACAGTGGGACACCAGGGAGATTTGGAGTTAGACAAGGAACATTTCTTGGAAAAGTAGGAACAGAGTGATTAAAACAGGATGCCTGATTGGCTCATCCCCAGAATGTACATGTTCAGTAAAGAAATTAGAGGAGGGAGTAGAATCAGCGGTGGGGTTAAGGTGAAATCCAAGTATGTGTCTAGTATCCACAGTGAACCCCTTTCCATGACTTTTATCCCCTTGGCAGCAATGGTGCCTCTAATGATTTTGAAAGTCTTTGTAATTTGTTTCAAGAGGGACTCATGGGTTCTTCAAATTTCCTTGTCTTTTCCAAATTTCTTGTTCTGTATTCCATTGTCACCTGTCTTAACTTTTCTGTCTTGATCACTCCACTTTATCCTCAGCAACCTTCCCCAACATATTTAGAGTTTCTCCCATTTCTTTTCCTTCCCAGGCCATAACACTGTACGGCATGAGATGCCTCTCCATGCCTCACGCTTCCCTCAATGTGATGGGAGCCCTACAGCCCAGGAACTCAGGACAGCACAGGAATGTCCTTCCTCTCTTCTACTCTCCAGATATTTTTCCCCCTTTCTACCTAATAATCATTTTCTCATGTATGGCAATCTATTTTCTGTAACTTGGGAATAGTATTCTTAGATTCACCATTTTTAACGTAGTATTCAGCCCTCAAAGCCCTGATGCCAGTTCCTCCAGAGATTTTTCTTGACCCTTGAAGGGAAGCAGGTTTTCCCTCATCTATGTCCAGAGAGCACTTCAACTGGACTTTATGGCACGCATGCCTCACTTCCTGCCTGTACTGGTATTACTGGGGTCTGTTTTGTCTTTTATTTTTAAGTGTCTTGGGTGTAGGGACCATGACAATGGAAATTTTTTACATGTCATATGTGCTCAGTGGAATCCCAAACAAAACACAAAAGCACATATGACACAAAGATAATGTTGGATTATCTATTGTGTTGGTAAATTTTTCTCATTATATACCTTCCAATGATGTTTGTGAGACAACTAGTTTCAGTTGGTAGGGGGAGAGAGAAAGAGAGAGGGAGGGAGAGAGAGAGACAGAGAGAGAGAGAGAGAGAGAGAGAGAGAGAGAGAGAGAAGTGAGGGGAGAGAGGAGAGAAACAAGTCACATGTGAGTTGTATATGGGCAGAGATGTCCCAAAATCTTTTTTTAAAAAAGAGCAATATAATTTGTCCTCTGGGTTGAGATGAGATCAAGGCAACCAGCAGTGTATGGAAGACAAATTTCCAACAAGAATGTCCTGAGAGCACCATGGCTAGACTGTGTAGTCCCTTTAGATTTCATTCATTAATTCAACAGCATTTGCTAAGCACTAAATAGGAGAGAGTCACCCATAGATGCTGAAGTAGTGGGGGTGAAACAGCTGAGACTGTGTCCTGCTGACGTTGAATGTTTGCTTTTTCCATCTGACCATGTCCTATGTACTGTTTCTATGGTTTTGTTACCACTGTTTTTATTAAATCGACTTTATTAATGTATAATTTTCAGTAAAATGCATGTATCTTAAATATCCAGTTCCATTTATTTCAACAAATATGTTTGCCCTGGTAAACAACACTACAATCATGATCTAGAATCCCGTAACGCTTAATACTTGGATTTCTTTAAAACCACCCCAACCTGGCCTTTTGCAACTAATCTCCTGCTTTATGCCTCTTAAGGATAGAACTATATTTCCTGAGCTACTTAGAATGGGAATACATAGTAGGCATATTTTATATTGGGCTTTTTGTTTTCCATTTATATTATGGAAAGGAATCTTTGTTGCTAATTATATCAGGAAAATTGTTCCTTTTTTATTGTTGAATGAAATTTTATTGAATATTTATTATTCATCATCTCATTTAAGAAAATTTTGGTTTGTTTCTAGTACAGGACTCTTTAAATCAAGTCATTGTTTTTGTTTGGATTCTTTTGCATTTTTGTGTTTTCTATTTTGTATTATCCTGCTCTAAGTGTAAGATATATAATGAGAAATATTCTTGATTGGTTATGTGCCTGGATTAACTTTGTAAATTCTTATAGCCATGCAGTTTGTTGTCACTGATGTCTCTGCTCAGTGTTGTTTATTGTTGTTGTTTTTTACAATTGTTTCTTCAGTCCCTTTCCCCTTCCCTCCCTTTCCTACCTGGTAGACAATGAGTGGTCGGTGACTGTGCCCAGCACCTTAAGCTAGTAAAGCTTCTGCCTTTTGCTGGTGGTTGGGGCACACCTAACACCTGAGCAGTTGGCAAACCTGTCCTGGTTGTGCTTTCTCTTTGTTCAAGTCCTCGTGTGTAACCAGGAGAGGCTGATAACTGTCGCTCCCTCGCCGTGGCCATTGCAGGCCTGGGAAGCTGGGTTCCCCTTATGTGGAGTGGGCTGGCTGAGAAATATGACAAAAAAATCCCACCACACAGAGAATAGTTTGGAAAAGGCAGGGGCAGGACAGCGCATCGTCCTTAAGGACTGATCTTCCAGGCTGGAAAGAGAGAGCAAGAGCTGTGTCTGCTTTATGTATGTAGGGGAACTTCAAAGGCTTTCTACAGAATGTTCTTAGCCAGTTAAGACAGGAGGTGGACTGTCCAGTAGCAATGGGTCACGCCCAACTCTGGAGCGAGGAGATCGGTCTTCCTGGCCCAGGGAAGACAGAGGTCACATGCATTACACAATCCAGTTAGTGGGAGGAGCCACAAAATCGCTGGCAACCCCAGCCCCAAATCTCTTTGGCTCCAAGGCCAGTGAAGAGGCTCAAATAGCTCAGGGGTAGCGCCCCACATCCCTCTTTGGCCCTTCCTCAGCCTCTGTGCAGCCTTCCAGACCCCTGCAAACAAATGGGCACCTCTCAGAGTCCACTCTGCCTGTCTCCTCTCCCAGGTGTCTTACTCAGCCCTGCCTGGGCCTTCTCTCCCTCCAGTTCTGCAGCCTCTGGCAGCTGGGAGGCTGACCTCTGGCTTTTTAACCAGCTGTGGCTATTGTCTCAACAAGCTCTCTGGGCATGGGGTCTGTGTATGGGGTTCCAAATGGGGTCTGCCCTTCGGTGGCAGCAGGACTGCTGGTCCTCAGCCCAGCTGACTGTCTGGCCAGGGCAAGGGCAGGCGCTTCCCCATGTTAAGTTGTGCAGCCCCCACTGTTCCCAGGAGCCTGGGTCCTTGTTTGTGAGCAAGATCTTCTCAATTTGTTGTCGCCCTCGCTCATTCCGGATGCCGAGGTATTCT